AAAAATGTTGCGATTATATTTTTACAATATTTTTGCAAAATACATATTGTAAAAAAAATTGTAATTTACAATAAAAATTTATATTTTAGGAATATTTAGCGAATTTTACAAATATAACTTTTTATAGCTATTCTAAGAACAATTTTATTTTTATTTCTAAAGCCATATAAACGACCTTTCCCCAGTTCTACATTGTAAACTAAGAACCACTTCTATACACCATATATAGCACCAAAATATCCACACCCCTGTTCGTCTGAATTACTTTTTATACTGATGATGAATATATGTTTTAAGTTTTTTTAATGTTTATCAAATAAATGTTAGGCTAGTATACCTTATACGTTGAACACATGCATGTTTTTACCCTTCCACTCAAGATAATTGTGAAAAATACCGACAAATGAGCAGGTATTGTTGCGAAACGGAGTGATACAAACAAGATTTAGGAACAAAACTGTAGTTGGTTGTGGTAGTCGTGCCGAGACAGATAAGCATCGTTGTGTTAAACCGTAGCGTAGGGTTCAGTTGCTTCACACATGTCACCGTCGATCGACGCATAGATGACACCCATTTTTTGTTTGTTTAACAATAAACTTTAATAAGTAAACAATTCTTGATTATTATACATTATATGTACAAGCATGAATAGGTAAGTCCGGCATGGTCTCCGCCGGATGAGAAAAACAATCTCTCCATGACGAAAGAAAATGGCGATTCTGCCCCCGCCAAAAAAAAAAAACTCCGACCGTCCGTCCGACAACCAGGGTGCCAAAGTCCTCTTCGCCCCCCTCGTCTTCTTGTTCGTCCTTTCTCCTTCCGTCCAACGAACCACCTGCTCCGTCGGACTAATTATTCCGCTGGCTAGGCTTTTCCTTCTCCTTCTCGGGTTATGGGCATTACACGCCCCCACCAAGATGAAGATTTGCCTCTTAAAGGCTAATTTTCACAACAGGTTCAACCGAACCGTTCAGCGTTCATTAGAAATAATGTAGAGTTCATTAGATACAAAACCCAGCGTTCATCCTAAGCAATTCCGAATTCGTCAGAATCAGAATTCAGAGGTTTATTAGTTGACACACTTGATTTCATACAAAATGTCAAAGTTCCTGATGGCTGACATGGATACTGAAATTTTTCAGCCTCCTACCCGACCAAGTGCAGGGGGTACTTAGAAACCAAAATCTGATCAGGATACAAAAGTCTTCTTACCATGTTTTTTCGTTTAACAAATACAAATATTACACTAAACCTAACTGCATAAATACATTCTACATTAGACAAACATTTTTTTTTTTTTTTTGTTTACCAACATCATTTAAACAAGTTATCTCGAAAAGTATTTTAAGGACAAGAATTAAGAACTTCTGAATATCTGTGGTTCCTTTCTTAAAAAAAAAAAATATTACTATTTTTCACACCAATCGTGACAATGCATCTGCGGCTCGATGTTGTACTCCTGGACGATAAGTGATTTTTAAATTCCATCTTTGCAAAGAGAGAGCCCAACGTGTTAATTTTGGACTCCTAGGTGTAATTTCAGTGAGATATTTCAAAGGATTATGGTCCGTAATGATTTCCACCGTCCCCCCGAAAATCCACTTATCAAATTTCTTGAGCCCGAATAACACTGCCCAGGCCTCCTTTTCTATGGCTGCCCATTCTTTTGAGCCCCAGAAAATTTTTGGGATGCAAAAGCTATTGGTTTAAAATGCCCTTGTGCATCTCTCTGAGTTAGACAACAACCGACGGCCACATCTGATGCATCCAGAATGCACCTGAAATGGTAAATTAAAGTTAGGTGTGGTCAAAGACGTCACCTGACACAGCATATCTTTCAACTTCCGGAAAGCCGCGTCTTCAACTTGACCCACCGTACATTATTCGGCGCATTCTTTTTCGTCAAATCCGTCAAAGGTCCAGCTATCTCGGCATAGTTCGGGATATATGTGCGATAAAATCCCATGAGACCCAATACCGAACGGACTCCCTTTTTATTCGTGGGCCTTTCTAGCACTTTAATTGCTGCAATCTTACTAGGATCTGGGCCGTGTTTGCCGTTTCCTATCTTATGTCCTAGGTAATCTATTTCCTTAGCTGCAAAATCACACTTACTGAGCCTGACAGAAAATTTTAACTGTTCCAGTATCTTAAGGATCGTTTCTAGATGCTTCAGGTGTTCTTCAAACGTGTTTGAAAAAATTATAATATCGTCTATATATGCTTGGGCGAAATCGCTGTACCTGGAAAAGAACCTTATTCATTTCTCTTTGAAAGGTACCTGACGCTCCTGCCAAACCAAACGGCATGACGTTCCACTGAAACGTCCCGTTGTGAGTTGAAAACGCTGTCAGTGGTTTACTTGATTCCTCCATTCCGATTTGCCAGTATCCTCTGCGCATATCTAAACTTGATAGCCATTTTGAATGCCCAGCCACATATATTAATTCATGCATATCCTTCATAGGAAATGCCGGCACTTTAGTGATCGAATTCAATGCCCTGAAATCAACGCACATCCTGATTGTCGCGTCTTTCTTGACCACACACACAACCGGGTGGGCTATGTCCGCTTCCGACGGTTCAATGAGACCCAGCTCTAGAAGTTCCTTGACTTGTTTGTCCACCTCTTTGCGATATGCCATTGGAATGCCATAACAATGAGGTTTTTTTCTGTCTGCTCCAGGCATAATATCAATCTTATGTTGTCCTACTCTAGCAGGTTGAACATGTCTCAAAAATAAGTTCTTGTACTTTCCTCAACAGTAGTTTTAGATCATTAATCTGCTTGTTGTTAAGATTAGTGGTACTTAGATTATTTAACCTACTTTCAAAACTACTATCCTGGTCTAAAGTAGAGGGAATATTGTCTACCTCCCCGAACTCTTCCCCGTCAAACATTACATTGATTGCATTTGACCGCACAATGAATTTCCTTATTTTATTTTGATGTACATGCTTAATGCTCCCGTCTGCCAGTTCTACTAAAAAAGAGTGTGGGTTTTTTCTTTCCTTTATCACTGCAGGACCCTGCCAACGAGCATATAACCTGTTGCTTGAATCAGGTATGAGGACTACAACCCTATCTCCTATTTCAAAAGTTTTACTCGAAGAGCGCAAATTATAATACTGCGCCATCCTACCTTGTTGGATTTCACTCGTAAGATCAGCTTGCTCAGCAGCACGTTTCAACCGCTCCTTCAAATCTTGCAAATATTTATGAATTGGCTTCAGATCGAATTTTAATTCGTCATGCTCCCCTAACCATGTAGATTTTAAAATAGATAACGGTCCTTGTGGGGGTCTACCATACAATAGTTGGAAAGGTGATACCCCTGTAGTACTGTTAGGTATTTCCCTGTATGCCCATAATGCGTAAGGTATTTGGACATGCCAAGCTCGACCTTCCTCTCTAATAATATGATGCAACATACGTTTCAAAGTCTGATTAAACCTTTCGACTAAACCATTTGACTGAGGGTACATGGGTGTCGAAAATCTCGGACTGGATCCTAATCTTTTCTCAAATTCCCGTGTTAAGTCTGCGTTAAAATTGGTACCATTATCTGACGCAATCACATTAGGAATTCCGGTCCTGGAGAAAATCTGCAGCAACGCGTCGCAGGTAGTTTTTGCCGTCAGACTGGTTAATGGCACTGCCTCGGCCCATCTAGTATGCTGGTCCACCAAGCACAAAATATATTTATGCCCCTTCGAACTAGGAGGATCTATAGGTCCGATTAAATCTACATTGACAACCTGAAAAGGTAACCCTGGTCTTGCTACTGGAGTAATTGGCGCTCTGTCCTTCACTTTCACTGGCTTTGTTAATTGACAACTTTCACATGATTCGCAAAATTCCTGGACATCTCTTTTCACGTTTTCCCAATAAAAGGAATAACGAATCCTCTCTAATGTTTTTTTAATTCCCATGTGTCCTCCAAACACTGATGCATGCGCGAGCTCTAGAATTTCATTCCTTCTGCATTTAGGGAACAACTAATTGCTCTGCACTTCTGTCCCAAAATCTTGTCCCGATGAAAAAGAAAACCGTCCCTCACAAAATAATTTCCTTTATCCGTTTTTCGCTCTTTCCCACATTCTTAGATAAGTCAGTGCATTCTTTCTGCTGCTGACGAAACTCCGCTGTCTGAGATAAATTAGTTGTTTTCTCCACTAAGGGCGCTCCGACATCTGGGATAGCAGCTACGTGGCTTTGAATGTCCGTTTCTAACTTACCCTGAGGTGTTTCTGCCTCTCCCACGTTCGAGGAATCCTTCGATTCGTAGAACAAACCACTGCTACTTCCTTCTCCGTTGAACTGTCGATCTTTACAAGTGTTTTCGCCCCGTAACATATATAACACCTGTGGGGGTAATAAAACATCTTCAACTAAAGATTTTGCCACCGCGCAAAGTATCTCCTGATGCACATTTGTACCCTTTCCATTAATTAGTGCTAAAGGTAATTTTACTAACTCACACCTTCTCGGCGGTCCAAAAATCCCCTTCAAATAAATTGCCGATCCGCTTCCAGATCTAAAATTTGGAATTATACTTTTCTTTACAACTGTTATCTCACTGCCAGAATCGATTAATCCGTTACATATCCGACCGTTTACACTAACCTGCACTCTATCCAATTTGCACAACTCCTCTTCGATTGATTGTCTAGAAATTTCCTTTCCAAAATGTCCCGCTTTGGCAACAATAACTCTGTTCTCTTGAGTTTCGATAACCTCTCCACTATCTACTGCACTTGCTCTGTTCACTTTCGCAAATTTGTCCTTCGTATTTTTATTTTGAGGGCAATCACGCTTAAAATGTTCTCTTGACCCGCATTTGTAACATGCGAAATTTTTCTGAGGAGAGTTTATTTTGCCTCTATTTGACACTGTTGAAGCCTGCTTCTCTGGACCAAGTTTATAGCTTTCTTTTGGCTTTACTTTAATCCTCTCTGGTGATAATCCCTCTTTAATATCATTCTCTTTCCTATAACCCTTAGCGTAAGATTTCCCGGTTGCCGAAAAAAAACATATCGCATTCTCTCGCTAACTCCTTTGGTTTCCACCAATTTTCACCTTGCTTAATACCAATATGAGTAGCAGTTTCCGTATCGAGCGTTTCCATTAATCTGTCCACAACTACTAACTGATTGACAGTTTCCAGATCCGTCGCTCCCCTCAATTTGCAGTAATAACTCCACATAGAATTTAATCTTGTAGCAAACTGAGTAAAATTTTCCTCCGGGTTCCTTTTAGCCCGCTTAAAATTTTCCAAACAAGTCTTAGGTGAAGGTTCATATTCCCGAAGCACTATGGTTTTCAAAGCCTCGTAATCCTCGTACTGTTCTTCCTCTAAATAAGTTAAAAGATGCGCAGCTTTGTCTCCTAACAAACACATTAACACCTTAGATTTTAAATTATCCGCTACTTTCTCACTCGCGAGGGCCTTTTCTAAACTGTTAAAAAAATAATTCCAGCCTTCTGACCCTGCGGGAACCCTCACCGTCAGCAATTTTATAGTTTTCACAATTTCATCCAAACTTTTAACTCTGGGACTCATTGTCGAATCCACCGGACCTTCCGAATTTAGACTCCGGTTTTCCGCTTCGAGTCTTAATCTTTCTAATGCTATCCGTTCGCTTTCTATGCGTAATCTCCCCTCGGCTAGCTCCTATATTTTCTTTCTCTTTCCTCTCGGAAATTAAAAATGATCGAAGTTAACAGCTCTTTAACTACATCCTCTTCGTAATTTTTACTTCCCTAGAATGATATTTTTTTAATTCGATCATTTTTAAATCATCCGAGACAACTCTTCCCCTAATTCATCGGCCAGAAGTACAAGATCGGCCTTCTTTCCTTTCATTAAATATGCCATAATGAAATATTAAACAATATGCAACAGCAATAAAATCAAAAACTTCACTGATAATTACTATAACATAAGTCATAAAGTATAAATACAGCCACTTTTTTGTAAAAGAGATATACAAAAATCAACCAGTTATTCTAAAAAAATTATTTTACCTACTAAAATTTAAATATACAAGCATATATGCACTCTAATCAATTATCTGAGCTTTTACATACTTTATGAGTTGATACAAAAAATGACATCTGTCAGTTAAATGTTACAACAATCCTTTTAACAAATTTTAGTACTTTACCTCAGAATAACTTTACATTTGATATGAAACAGTAATAAAACCGTAAATAGTATTTGCAGTAAGAAAAAATATCACTGAAAATTACTCTTCACTAAATACACAGTTCCCTAAATTATTCATACGACAAAAACACATACAAAAGTTTACATACATAAAATATATATATAACACTTAAATTCTACCGAGCTTCCACCATTTCCGGAGCTCCAAAACCAGAATTTCAATTGACCTGTGTTATGATACCCCTAAACTTTTGTATCCTGACGCAGAATAATTTTAAACTTAAAGAAAAGTAATTTAACTTCAGATAAAATTTCTCCTACAGTTTGCTTTACAATCTTGCACCTTTTAGCCGTACCCAAACAAAAAAATAAAATACCCTGCATCCGATCGAACAGAGAACTAAAAAAAATCAGTACTCACCCCTGCGATGAAGCATTTGATCGCAAAGCTGCCACCATTGTAGTTGGTTGTGGTAGTCGTGCCGAGACAGATAAGCATCGTTGTGTTAAACCGTAGCGTAGGGTTCAGTTGCTTCACACATGTCACCGTCGATCGACGCATAGATGACACCCATTTTTTGTTTGTTTAACAATAAACTTTAATAAGTAAACAATTCTTGATTATTATACATTATATGTACAAGCATGAATAGGTAAGTCCGGCATGGTCTCCGCCGGATGAGAAAAACAATCTCTCCATGACGAAAGAAAATGGCGATTCTCCCCCGCCAAAAAAAAAAAAAAACTCCGACCGTCCCGTCCGACAACCAGGGTGCCAAGTCCTCTTCGCCCCCCTCGTCTTCTTGTTCGTCCTTTCTACTTCCGTCCAACGAGCCACCTGCTCCGTCGGACTAATTATTCCGCTCGCTAGGCTTTTCCTTCTCCTTCTCGGGTTATGGGCATTACAAAAACCCTTCTGATTATATCGGAATATTGTAATTTTTTCTTTGCTAGCAAAGCTTGCGGAGAGAAGGAATGATGTCTTTCTAGAGAACTTTCCAAGAGAAACTACCTTTTATTTATATTACACATAAGGAACAGGACAGGCACTTTTTGCCACTCGGTGCAGTCTTTTTTTGTGTTCCTAAATTCTACCACTCGTGCTTCTGGCCGCCCTTTTATTTGTGCTGCGCAGGTTGTACCAGCTCTGGTTGGCGGCCCTAGAACAGCGCCGAATTTAGCATTTTTCCTAGATGCCGCAAAAGCTTAAAACTGTCGCCCTCATCCATCTTCGATTAAGTTTCTCTAAGATATATATATTTTTAATAAACATAGAAATAAGTAGGTTTGAGATAAAATGTAAAATCCACTTTATAGTAAGAAATTCTTTGTGTCATTTTTGTTATAAAAGCAATAGTAACAAATTGTACAGTTTCTTTACTCACGGCAAGCATAAGAGGGCTATCTGTCTAAGAGGAAAAATACCTTCGCTGAGAACTTTCTGAGAGTAATTAGCTCGTATGCAAGTTACGCATGAGCGAAACGACGGAAACGCCCATGCCACCGGTATATTCGCCGTAATTCTAACCCCCGACCGAACTACCACTATTCAGACTCTACCGCTCAGCCGCTAGTGGCCCGACATAAGTACTAATTTTTAAATGCCAGGACAACTTTATCCTGGCACTTAAAAATTTCATTTCACTATAACGCCTTTATGTAGGCTACTCAAGAACTCTTCTATCGTCCTCACACAGTCCGCTAACGTAATAAATATTTACATATTCACACAAAAGACTTTTTTGAACTGTAATAATCAAATTTACATTTCCTCTGAAATATGCAGTTTTGCAATATTTGCAATAATAACTAGCCATACTAATGGAAAATTATTCAGTACTAAATACTATAGCAGCTCAGTATGGCATGAAAAATAGAAAAGGCCCATTCCTAATAATAGCTTAAACGAATATATCACGTTACAAATCACTAATGCAATGAATAATTAAATTCCTTTTTTTCAATAACATACTTAAATAAGTAAGTCCTAACATTCAATCAAATATGCACTCGTAATAAGAATAATCTTTAGTTATAAACACAATAGATGAGCTGAGTAATTACATAACTAATTTTCATTAGCGTAAATTTCATTAGCTGTACATAACAATACGAGTTACTGCTGAAAGGAAAAGGTTAGTACTTGTACATCTTTTTCATAATTCTTATTTCATTAATAATTTTAAGTTTTTATCTAACGCTCTTAAAATATTACGGATTAAAATTTTACACTGCGAGCCTTTTGTTCTGCAAATAAATGTATGGCATCGTCATAATTAATTCGATGTGCTGTTTGATATTCGATTGCGAGATTCGATAAAAGCTCCTGGCTCATCGATGATGGCAGTTAGTTTTTAATAAGTTTTAATTTACTAAAACTTCGCTTACAGCTTGCGGATGTAGTTGGAGGTGTAGAGTAAGTCCGGAGAGCAATACAAATATTGTAAAATGCATCCTGTAAATCGTAGGGGTAGATCTGTTGCAAGAGATAGAAAGAGCTAGCCTTTTTTATGTCGCCGAATAACATTGGGGCTTGTTCTTTAAAAACGACAAATTCCTACCAGAACTCAAATGCGTTTAGATCTCGCTTATATTTTCGTGAAAGATCTGTTCCATTCTTTTGCTGTTCTTCAGTTGACATATTCAACATTTCACGACCATTGAGAAATGCGAAATTTGAATTTAATGTCTAACGTTATTTATCCTTGTTTTAATTTCTGATAAAATTCGATCAAATACAATTTATATTACATTAGAAAATAGCTGAACAGAATGAAGTGTTCGAGATTCGTCCTCATCATCAAATTGCTTTACAAATTGAAATTGATTCATCAAATTGCTTTACGCGCATTAGAATTCGTTTATTTGTGAGAATAGGTTCAACTTCAATTTTTCGGCTGCTGTTTTAGACTCTTCTATGCAATATTCCATAGCAATTTCTCTCAGGTTTTGCAAAGTTTTGGTCAGACCTTCCATTAATGCGACAGAGCGCGCAAGAATTAATTAAATTAATATTGAAATTCAAAAAGAAGATATTAATTTTCCTCTTGAATTTCAATATTTATTCGATTGATTTCTCGAAGAATATTAGCCCAAATTGTCAAGCTGATAATAAATTCAACATTTTTTACAACGTGTAGATATCCTGCTTCGTACTTAGAGATTTTGCACTAAGAGGAGGATCATTAATTTCTTTCAAGGATTTTACTACTCCTGGTAAATTCGTTAGAAGGGCTTTCACAGCCACATATTTTTCGGACCATCTCGTCTGGCTGCTTCCTTTTAAGTTTGTTTTATACATTTTTTCATAATATCTCATCGAATAGTGGATCCGACAAAAATGCTAAATACCCTATAGATAGGTTACTCCAAATAGGTTAACAGCTTCGGAGCACGATAAGGCAGAATACACACTCAGAAGATTCAAAGAGTGAGCCAAACATGGCATAAATTCGGCCAATTTATTCATTTCTGTAATTATGACTTGTGCTCCTTTATAAGTACCAGCCATGTTAAATCTGTTATCTTAAGACTGACCACGACATTGCCCAATATCCAAACCATCAAATTTGAGTTTTTCCACAATCAGTCGAGAAATACACTCTCCTGTCTTTCCACCAACTTCTATGAAATCAATAAAGCTTTCCTTTATTTCGCACATATATTTTACGTATTGAATCAACTGGCTCTCTTTTTCTGTATGCGACACATCTGGAGTGTAATCGAACATTATTGTATAATATTTGCCTTCTTTAATATCGTTTAAAATGCTATTGCGAACTGTTTTCGCCATTATATCAATAATTTCATTTTGAATTGTCTCTGATAAATTACTTGTCCCTTTTTTAGTCGGCCTAACAGGCACTTAAGAGTTGAGTTTATGTTTTGCTAGAACAAGCATTAAATTGAAAAAGTTGCCTTGACTAGGCCAAGTATACTTTGTGAGCAGACTCCTCCTCCTCCAAGCTTTATCTTTAGCTTGAAAGTCATCTTCCTTTGCTTTACAGAATGATTGATTTCTGAGATTGTTATTAATGCATTATTTACGAGATCAAAATTTAAGAATCCACTTGACTAATCAGACGAACACATTAATTTACGAAAATTACTGAATAAATATCATTTCCAAACTGAGATTTCGAAACCCAATCCAACGAATATTTATTTCGTTTCAAAAGAGAACAAAAGTTAGTAATGAATATTAACGAAATGGGAGAAAAACTGGCAAGATCCATGTTTTGGAGGTCTGATTACATCTTCCTTTTCCAATAAACGCTGTTTTTTATTAGCTACTAAAAAATAAGGTCAAACCTTCGATGTGAGTTTCTCCGCTTTCACTTACGTTACCTCAGTTTTGATAGCTTTAAATTTTTATAGCTTGTTGATAGGTTGATAGGTTGATTGTTGATTGGTGTTGATAGGGTCGTCTAAACTTGTCAGTGACGCCTGGAGTCCTTCTATTGTCTTCTATCTTATCT